TCCCACTGGGCAGCTGTAGACAGAACGAGAGGCCCTGTCCCACTGAGCAGCCGCACACTAAGGATTTGTAGATTCCCCTTTTCATTGCTGGCAAGGGCACAGAGATGGGCACACATGTATCTCCCCTCAGGAGGAAAATTTAGAAATTTTTCGATCAAGAAACTTTAAGACCCAGAATTCAAAGAATCAATCCTCACCAAGTAGAGACTGTAAGTTCCCGACATGTAAGAGCGTTCTCTGTGGGATTTTTATCACTGCAAACCTAGAAGATGCTTTCACATCTCCAAGTCTCAATCCCTCAACTGAAGAAGAGGAGCAGTGGCTGTTTTGTGTATGGATTATGTGTGTAAAGCACTGTGGCAAGCTCAGCACGTGGCAGGCACTTAATACACAACTGTATTTGCCAACTTTGTTGCTCCAGCACAATTCTGACAGCTCCTTCTGGCTTCCGGTGCCCAGAGTGGCCTGCCCAGTGGCACCTGCTCTCCCTGGGACACTGGCCTCTCCCAACACCCAGAGAGACTCCCAGTGCCTAGCAGATGAAGGGGCAAGTGCATAAAAAATGCACAGTGAAGTCTATTCCCTTAAGATAGCAGATAATGGAGGAAGGCGGGGGGGGGGGTGTAAGGGATATTTGCATTCACAATCACTGATTTCCAATTCCCAGTACTTGTGGGAAAACAATTTTGGTGGACAATGCCTGCTCAAGTGTGAGAAATGTAAAGATATAGGGTGCCTATGTGATATTTATTTATTCATACATTGTATATATACTTTACACATATATAAAATTCACTACATAGATTTATTATAGACATATATAAATTTAAATAGAAATGAGGAAATGAGAGAAATTGGTCCTTTACGAAAGAATTCATGATCTACCTTCATGATCCTAATCTTATCTAGTAGTTAAAAAGTAATTAATTAGACTTTTAAAACCACAATTCATATTCAGTATTTCAGGGGCACATATATGTCATTGCATTGAGTACAAATGGCAAATAATTCAGTTTTTTATTTTAATTTTTTTATTTTTACATATACATGAGATTATTAGGTTTCCACTTTTTGCCTTCGCGGAATTAAAAAGGCTTAAAATTTAACAACAATAACAATGTTTAAGATAAGGACTAGAAACAAAAACCTCGTAAAGAACGAACGAAGATAAATACACTCAGAAAAGAAATCAGACGATTGCTGCTATGAAGCATTAAATGATGAGAATAATAGTAATGCAAAGAAAGTAACTTTCACGTTGTCAAATAAGAGTATGTCTATCCTAGCACGCTTTGACTCCGAGGTGCAGTATGGGGTCATCAATTAACCTCTTATTATTTTTTTCCAGAGTCCCCAAAAAATAGACAACTGATATTTATACATAAAAATAAAAGATAATTCACATTTGTCCATGTTTGAAAGTCATAGTTACTAACACCTACTGATCTCCCAACACAGATTCTGAAATACCAGCACCTAACTGTCGTGCCACAAAAAATGGGCCAGAGGGGATTAACTTTCTTTTGCATTCATTTGATTATTAGAATCTAAAAAATTAAGGAGTAACATTTTCAAAGTGCTGAAGAAGATCTCAGTACAATAATGACCCAGAAAACTTGGACAAATACACAGAGCGACTCTAACTAAGACCCTGTCCACTTACAAAGGAATTAGGAAGCATTTAGTTCTATTCTAAGAGCTTTATAAATAAAACAACTGATTATCGGCCTAGAAATAAGGCTTTGATTGGAAGATGTTTTTAAAGAAAAACAAAAACCTCACACAAACTACTGTGCCTTCCCAAGTTCACTAGAACCATTAGCAGCATATCCACTTTTCAGAATGGGACAAAAAGCTCGTTACGTCAGCTTTTTTTTAACCTTCTCCTCTCCATACGTTAGGCCCTTCTTGTGTATGTCTTCCAAAAAAAAAACCCCGCATTTAGAGAAAGGAAATTTTAATCACGGAATAAAAAATGTCCTCTTGACCACACCGAAAACTTTCACCCCAAATTCCAAGCCGCTAACACACAACCCCAGCTGAGTAAATGGTGGAACCAGGGCCATAAACTCTGCTTCCTGCCCCTAAACCCGGCTTAGTGATTTCACCCTTCTTGATTTTGTCTCAGCCCCTTCTCTAGATCCATTTTCCCTGCACAGTAAGAAGACGAGGTAAGACGCTCCTTTTCCAAATTACGGGGATCCAGGAAGGCGAAGGTTGGGAGGGAACAAGAAGTCTCCATAACAAGAGAGGAGCAAAGTCTCCCCGCTCCCCGTCGGCCCACCAGTAAACACAGGCTCACAACGTTCCTCCTTTGTAGATTCTGAACAAGTTTCATGAGCCAGTATCTCACAAACATCTGCCTTCATTATAATTATATTTCTATTTCAGCTGCACCAAGCTATTTACAGATGGGCCGGTTCATAAAGAGCTTTATAATTAAGCAAACAGAAATATCTTTTTATAGGATGCAGATCTAGGGGTGATAATCACACACAAAATACACAGCAACAGTTGCAAATAGAGTGTTTAACGCTAGTTATATAGTTAGTGATGTGCTCAGTAAACCCTGACATGTCTTTGTTCCTAAATACGAGAAAATATGGTCTTTGCTACACAGCAGTGTAAACTGTCTTCTTCTCCTATTTTTTCTTTAAGCCAAGGCCATATTTTCAGGGTGGGTTCTTAAAATGTGTGTGTGTGCGTGTTTTACTTAACAATGGGGTTATAACACGCGTTCTCCGGCTTAGCGGGGTTTGAAATCTGCCTGGTTTTTGGAGAGAGAGAACGGGAGCTAAATATAAGCAGCAGCGTGTGTGGAGGGACAAGCGTGCCTTGGATTCGACAAGAAGATGGTGGCGATTATCTGATGGGCCTGGGGAAGTGGCCGCCGGACAAAAAGAACCGCAAAAGATTAACTGCAGAATAAAAGTTTTATTTTGTGAGCTATTTATAATTGTGTCGATTGCTGAGTAAGGTTCAAGTCCGTGCTCTAGGTGTCCCTCCACCGGGATGTGCCTTATCGCTGTGCAGTGGTCCCCTTGGGTGGGAACTTACCCAACCCCTCCCCCATTTGAATTTAATTTAGTTTTTCTCTCATGTGAACACGAATTAGTTAATTCTCTAATTTCAAACTGGAACTGAGTACGTATTATACTTGTTTTTCCATTCTCGTGATACTTTGCTTAGGAGAATATTCTCCAAAGCCATCTAGGTTGTTCAGGGGACGTGCTCTACGCCAGCAGTGTAACAAAAGATTCAAGTCTAGCAAATCCCTTCCGGGCAGCAGCGATTATTAACAGAAAATGTATCTTTAAACAAAAAGTAAGCAAGTTTGATAAAACTGAAAGTAAGAAGCTCTTCACACTGTGGATAGAAAGTGTAGAGAAGGTTCAATTATTGCTCGGGGCAATCAGATGTCAAGTAACACCAAGTAGTCTGCTACAAAGATACAAAATCATCATCATTTATATGGCTGAGTAGTATTCCATGGTATACATATACCACAGTTTATTAATCCACTAGGGTTCAAGGGCATTTGGGTTGTTTCTACATCTTTTTTTTTTTTGGTAGAGACAGTCTCACTTTATCTCTCTCAGTAGAGTGCCGTGGCATCACACAGCTCACAGCAGCCTCCAACTCCTAGCCTTAGGCGATTCTCCTGCCTCAGCCTCCCGAGTATCTGGGACCACAGGCACCCACCACAATATCTGGCTATGTTTTGACATCTTTGCAAATGAGGATTATGCTGCTATGAACATTCCAGTCTAAATGTCCTTATGGTAAATGTCTTTTTTTTTCTTTGGGTATATATCTAGTGAGAGGATTGTCGGGTCAAATGTTCCAGTTAAAATCTCCCAGGCCCTGGGGCATTTGCCAGGAAGGCCAATCTTCAATCCTGTATGTAACAGCTGCCCCTTCCCCTCACCACCACTTGGAAGTTTTATTTGCTGAAAATGTTTGCTTTATCATTCTGTACATCTTCTGGGCTATCCAGAGGTCATTCAATCCCAAAGACTAGTAAGAAGACATAGCCATTGTTTGCTGAGATTCAGCGTTGGCATAAGAAAAGAAAGTGCACATATATATACAGAAGACACTGTGATGTCCAGCTCACGCACTGCTGAGAGTGGGCCGCAGTGCTGTGCTTTAGAGGATGATTTGAATTTGACAATCACAGAGTGAAAGAGTCTTAAAACAGTAATGCCCTTTGGCCTTGTAATTCCACTTGTATGGATGTATGTGAAGAAAATGAAATCTAAGAAGTATGATTCGAATAGCTTTTCTTCAACAAGATACTTAACAAATTGTTTAATATTGCCACAAAATAAAAACGGAATGTCCTTGTATGCCCAACTATAGGGGAATAGTGACATAAATAACCTACAGGGCAAACATTCAATAGGACATCTTACAACACAGGGGCACACAGGGAGCACAGTGGGCCCCAAAGACTCAGAATGGGGAGGGGGGGAAGGGGACGAGAGGGAGGGGGAAGGGGACGAGAGGGAAGGGGACGAGGGGAGAGAAACCACCTATCAGGTGCAGAGTGCACTATTCAGGTGAAGGGTATGCTAAAAACCCAGGCATCACCACCATATAATTCATCCACATAACCAAGACAAAAAGCTATTTGTACTCATAAATCTACCAAAATAATTGTTAAAAATCTATGATGATTTAGAGACTTGTTTACTCTATGCCATTAAAGGACAAAAGTGGGGTGAATTATCCAGTACAATCTCAACCATGCCCACATGAAAGTACGATAGATGGGAAGAAATATATCAAGACGTTAGCAGTGATTAAATTAGGGGATGGGTATAGACGGGTTTTGTTTTGTTCTTTTTAGTTAAATGTATTTTTTTTTAATTTTCTTTGGTAAGCATCTACCAATTTCAGATTCAATAAAGGCCATTTTTAAAGCTATTCATGACAGAGTTAAAATTAAGAATTGTGCAGCTATGTTGAGGAAGGCTTGCGGTGTGTTTTCGGACGATTCACTTAAGTAACCAAACATTTTCTATTACTGAGATGCATTTGTCTCTAGGATCAAGTCTGCCAGCATCCGTAGAGCAAGGATTCCAGGGGTTCGGGACACACCTCCTAAACATGTCAATATTTGTTCTTCGAGGAAGAAAAAAGAGGCCACTGGCAAAGAAGGGCACAACATGTGGGTGTGGGGGGCCGTTTCAACACATGTTATCTGCTCATTTGCTTGTTCCTCTCCTGTTAGCACATACATGTGTGTTTCTTATTTTCCTCTAAGCCTTTCATTCCCTTTCTTCCCCCACAATTCCTTACAGAGTGGGAATCCACTGAGTTCCTGCATAATGCCGGCTACCTTTCAGCATGGTGAATCTCTTCCGCGCCACACAATCCATGAGAAGTTAGCCATAATCCCATTTAAAAGATGAGCAAACAAAGGCAAAGGGCCTTTGCTCCAAGTCATTCTGCTATTTGGGGCAAAGTCAAAATTCAAATTTCTGGTCTGTCTGGCTCTAAGTCCCAGCTGACTGAATGAATCAGTTCTTCTTCAGTGATTTTCATGTTCTCTTTCTGATATTGGACTTCAAAAACCTACTGTGGGGGGACTTTCAGGTGAACTTGAAAACTTGAGAGTTCCCAGGTCCCTGCACCACCCAATGCACATCACTTACCCATAACCTTACCCAATCCACTTTGTCCACTTCCACAAACAGCTTTGATAACTTAAAAAGTCAAATGTACTATTTAGTAAGAAAAGAAATAACAATGCCACCGCAGTTCACGAGAGCAGACTAGCAGACTACTTGGTGTTACTTGGCAGCTGATTGCCCCGAGCAGTAATTGAACCTTCTCTCCACTTTCTACCCACAGTGCGAAGAGCTTCTTACTTGCAGTTTTATCAAGCTTGCTTGCTTTTTGTTTAAAGATACGTTTTCTGTTAATAATCACTGCTGCCCGGGATTTGCTAGACTTGAATCTTTCCTAACGTTGTTGGCATGGAGCAGATACCCTGACGTCCCAGACTGAAAACCATCTGGGGCTCTCGTCTGCCCGTGGACATCAGCTGTCCCAGAATGAAACCGCAGGCGAGTTCTGCCTCTGACTCACTCTCGAGTTGCTTCTCTCACCTGCAAAACACATTCCCCAAAGCCCATCTCAACACAGAAAGAAGAATCTTCTTCAGTGATTTCAATGTTCTCTGCTTGCCCAGATGCTCCTGTCTGCCACCATGGTCCCATCCTTTCACGCCCTTTTATTAAATCTTCCCTTGAAAACCCTGGACTTGACCCACATCCTGGCTAAGCCTCCCCTTGGAGCAGGGTCAACCTCACAGGTGGTTACAAGGTCTCTATTTAATGCTTAACTGTCCCCATCTTAAAAGTCTTACTAATTTTAGAACAAGGGGCCTCCACTTTTACACTTTGCATTGGACTCTGAAAATTGCGTGGCCAAACTTGTCCATCAGGCTAGAGACTTGGTCCCTTCAGGGCTAGTCACCATCCGCCCCCAACAGCCCCCTCCTCAGGTTGCTGGCCTGGGAGTCTCTGGAACAGGAACCGTCAGTCACACCTTCCTCCCAGGTCTCTCCTGCTACTCCCAGAGTTCAGTTCGATTGTTTGGTTCCTCCCTGTGTCTTTGTGAAACATCGCAGGTCCCGACTATGTTTCTCGCGCTTTGTCTAGCATGCCAGCAAGGCACACCCCACGTTTCCACACTGGCCTGTATTTCTCTCTGCTCTTCAATGGGAGTTCGGGCTACTCCTCAAGCTTCATCTACCACCTCATGTGACTGGGGGGGACCAGGTGTTTTCCATGACTTTCCTCTCCACCCATCAAACCAGAATTTCCAGGTGCTAATTTGCTTTGAGTCTTACCTGTCCCCAGCAAATCAAACTCAACCAACGTCAAACCCTGCTCACCCTTGTTCACCTTCATCTGGTTCTTTCTACAGAGTTCTTTCTGTGGTCAATGAAACTTTCATGCTATAGGAAACCCCCCTTTAGTCTAATTTTGGAAACTTTTCCCATGATTCCTTCTCCCATCCCATCACTGGTTTGATCTATGTACATTCACCCTCCTAACAAATCCACGTTGCACATCACCCAAAGCCACGCTCATCCCTCTCCTGGTTACGGCACACTTTTTGGTAGATGTCCGAGGCCTCCAGAAGTTGGAGTCACTAAAGGCTCTGAGTTCATTCCCTCACAATTTCAGGTGGCATGCTGCAGTAAGGCAAGTCTCAGACTGAATTCTGACACATATATACTTAGTACGTCGGCACTAATGCCATCCAACAACCTGCTGTGTTGGTTTGAGCCCAGCTCTCTGTTCCTTCCAGAACTCTATTTTTCATGAAATATCCACTCAATGCTGATGTGGCAATATTCTAGCGGCACCATTCAGCTGACATTCTAGTTCAAATCAGATGACAAAAATCCTTCCAGAATCAGCTAAAACAGTCAGGCTTGGAACCCCAAGCCTGAGAGTCTATTCCAAAGGATGTTGGCAGTTAGGCTTTCTGGATTTTTATCTCTTGTTCACACAAGGGTAGAACTGACTACAGGGTATTTTGAGCCAGTCCACATATGTTTCTCCATCAGTTTTATTTAATTAGTATTTTTAATTATGTATTAAGTACTGATGCCTCTACCAGCTAAGAAACAAAAAGGCTAAACCTTGAAAGTAAGCCACATCTATGGTGCTTCCATTCCAAACCCACCTTCACCAGAAATAACCAGAAATCTGGGCTCGCTGATCCCTCGATCTCCTGTTCATGTACACCTACCAGGTTGGCCTTGCTCCCAAAGAAGCATCTATGCATATTTTAATTTTAATTATTTTTAACCTGGAGTTATTATGTTTAATGTAATCTTGGGGACTTACTTTTTCACCTGTTAATATTATTAATAGATATTCCTCCATGCTGCTGCGCGTGGCTGTAGTTTGCCTTGATTATTGAACACCATCTACTGTGTATGGACTTTCTAACCCATGGACATTACGTTACTCCCAGTCGTTCTCTCCTCCTTGGACAATGCTGCTACAATACTGCTGTATAATCTCTAGTGATGCCCGTCCACAAGTTTATCCTGAGTATGAATTGAGTTGCAAACGACCAGCCTGAGGAACTTAGCAAGAACCGTCTATACAAAAATAAGAAGATTAGGTAAGCATGGTGGGACGCACCTGTAGTCCTAGCTACTCAGGTGGCTGAGGTGGGAGGATTGCTTGAGACGGGGAGTTGGAGGCTGCAGTGAGCTATGATGACACCATCACACTCTGGCCCACGAAACACAGCAAGAAATTTCCTGAAAAAAAAAAAATAATTAACTAAAATGAATTGAGTTGTGGAATTACTAGGCCAATAGGGTAGATGAAGCTTTTAGGAGAAAATGTCCAAGTGTGGTTCATTGTGATTGTAAAAACAGACTCTGTTTCCAGCAACGTTCAAGAGCTCTTCTGCAATAACATCTCTCCATCCTTTGGTACCGTCAATTTCTTAATTATTTCCAACCAAATGGCAGAAAATGGTATCTCAGAGTGTTCTTGATTCTCATTACCATAATCGCATAAAAAACAGGTATGTATTGGCCGAGAGATGTGTTTTCATCTTTTGACCATTTTCCTGTTCTTCTTAATGATTTTTTATAAGGAGTTTTATGCATCCTTGACACGACTGTATATATATCTTACACACTATTAATTTCACTGGTGAAAAATCACCCACCTTTTGGGCAGCACCTGTGGCTCAGTGAGTAGGGTGCCAGCCCCATATGCCAAGGGTGGCGGGTTCAAACCCAGCCCCAGCCAAATTGCAACAACAACAACAAAAAAAATCACCCACCTTTTAATAATATCCACCATGTTACTTAATAAATCCTCTAATTGCAATGGGAATTAAGTTCAGCAGAAGGGCTCATAGTAACTGCCTCTCCAGTATGGATCTCGGATTAGTGCATGCCCCCAGCCAGTGTGTACTAAATGTCAGCTAAGTGCCCCCTGGCTGTGGTTTAAATTAGTTTGACTTGCATAGTGTGTGTTTACATACATACATATGTGTGACAAGCACACACACGCAACACGCTAAAATAAACCACAAGGTAACACTCACCTTTTCTGATGCCATTGCCACCACCCCTACACTTCCCCCTGTCCCTTCACAGTGGTTCAGATGGGTTGCCGCCTCCAGCCTGTTCCCTTTTCAGTTCAGCCTGCTTGTCCCCTCTTCTTTAGTTGCTAAATGAAGCCACAAGGCCCCACCGGGGACTGCGGGCCCTAACCTTCCATCCCAGGCATTCCTGCCCCTCTTTCCTACAGGGTACAGCCTTGGGACCAACCCTCCATCCCAACCCTAGTCCCTGGCAACTGCGTGCCACATCTGAGTAAATCACTCGCCCTGATGACAGCTCAGTTTCTCCTTTCCTAACATAAGGGCAATCGTAATAACTAACTCAAAGGCACCTAGGTCAAGGAGAGGATTGAGCAAGGCGATGCCTTCTCAACGCTTAGCCCAATGTTGTGTAGTAACATTCAGTACATGCTTGTGGTCTGTTGTGTGCCCACAGTCTATGTCAGCAACACTGCACTACAGCCCCACTGCTCACCACTGGGGGTTCATTTGGCACTGTCCCCCAGCATGTCCATCTAGACGTCTTCCTCAACAGTGCATATGGCGGGTAGAATGCTGTGATCATCAGGCTGTCCAAGCTCTTTGTCAACACCTCCCTTGTGACACTCTGCCTAGCACTTCCTTACAAAGACACGTGTATCTCTCTGTCGCTTATGTGCTCAAGAGCAAGGACTATTACACTCGTCATCTTTCCTCCAGGACCTAGGGCCAGGCCCAGAAATGAGCAGGTCTTCCGGAAACGCAGGTCATTTGCTTGTCTTACTCTCCCTTAGCGTTTTTTTTATTTCTTTTCTTCTGATTTTCTAACACTAATAAAAATAAAACCGCTAAGAAATTGTATTTTTTCCTGTACCTCCTACCTACAAAACCATCACTCGTGATGTTCAATCTAGAAATATTATGTTTATAAAAAAGCCCATATAAGAATTCGTGTCTATTTCATGTGCACAGTTCAGCACAATTCTTATTGAATTTCTTTCCTATTCTATCCCCATATCCCTGAGTACCCAAGACTCTCTCGCCCTTCTGACTTACTGTCTCCCTCCAAAACACAGTGTGACTCTCCCCTGTGCCTACACCAGCTGGACGTGGCCATCGTGGCTCGCTGGCCACCTCTCCACTGCTCCTCGCCACAGTACACTCTGGGCCGCTCATATCTCTTCCTTCCCAAATCCTTCTGTCACCCTAGGTCATGTAAGGCATAGACCTCGTGACAATTTAGTTCTTGTTGTGCTTTTTCCTTTGAAGTTTCAGGGAGGAGAAACAGGTGACACAGACATCCCACCCCACCCCAACCTGGCCCCCGGCCTCTGCTGTGGTCCCAGTGAAATAAGTTGTAGCCCACAGGTAATTGTGCTTTTGTTGTTGTTGTGTAACATTATCATGCATTCAGGTCATGTCCAGGGAAAGACCATCTTCATAAACTATTCTGTAAATCTAAATTTAATGTCTAAATATTACCTTTTCTATCACTTACTTCCTGGCCTGAAATAAGTCAAGTAACACAAACTGTCATCTTCTGTCTGATGACATTCCCCGTCAAAATCAATAGATGTCAGATTAATTTTATAAAAGAGTCAGTTCAACAAGCTCGGGTTGCATTCCAGGTCCCAGATCATCCCCACCCACCCAGGGCAACTTTTCAGCTGTCTTGGAGCACAGATGCTCCACCCCAGGTGACACGGTGATTCCCCAAGAACCCAGAGCAAGGCTTCACTTACTGTCGGACTTCTAGTAACACCGCTCAGAGGCAGGAAAACCAGACGTCTGTTAGCTAGTCTTAAAAGTCTATGGCATCATGGATCAAAAGAGGAGGCAGGGTGATGTAGAGAGAGGAACTCTGTGTGGGGATGCTGTGACTACGTGCACAATCACACGCTCAGAACTCATCACCCGGGAGTCCTCACCCCCTCTGCAGCGTGATCGAGTGTGTCAGGATCCAGCACGAGACAGAGGAGGTGCTCCAGGTACTTGGAACACAAAAAATGTATTAAAAGGAATCAGTGCTCACAGGGCCATTGGAAAAACTTGAGGAAGGGAAGGGAAGGGAAGGAGCTCCTGCCCAGCTGTTGGTGACACCGTAGTTATGAGCAAGGAGCCGGGAGAGAAGATGCTGCTGCCCCCAGCCCCGGCCCTCCCAGACGGCCTGCAGCGTGGGGTCCGGACACCCACCGCCAGGCACCTCCCTTTCTGCAGCCGCAGGGAGAGGATGGCCGGCGGCTGCCACGCCAGATCTGCCTTCTGATCCCGCACAGGTCCCTGTGACTGCAGGAAGGCAATTCTCACTCAGCTCCAGCTGCTGGGAGTCAGCTTCTGCTTTCCGCCTTCTCTAAACAGAGGGAGAGAGGGGAGTCCGAGAGGGCCGATCCCCAGGGCAGTATAGTAAGAGGAACTGGTGCGGTCCCGTGCAGAGCTGGGTTAGCTCAGCGCCTTCTCCACCATGCAGATTGTTTTCAAGCAATCATTAGCGTCTCTGGGCTTTGGTTTCTGTACCATCAGGATCCGTGTGTGTCAGTGTGTCGGGAGGACTGAACATAATGTGTGCAGAGCTCTTGGTAGGGGGAAGCTTTTATCACCCTGACCCAGGGACAACACTGTGCAAATGTCACCAGTTAAAAGATTGTTCTCCCCACTCGAATGTGTAATTGTGGGTGAGGAGAAACACCGAGTGAGCCCCTCCGTGTGCCTGGAGGTTTCACAGCTTCATGCTGGTCAATGACGGTAACAGCCCTGTGGTGTGTCTTGTCACCCAGGCCTGGCTGGTGGGGAGGTAGGGGACCGAGGGTGTGGAGGACGTGGAACTGGGAGGAAGTAAAGGCAGGATCCCTCCCCCACACCCCACCGGCACATGCTCCCGCTGAGTAAAACGCCAGGGTGTTTCCTCTTCTGCCACCCTGGAAGGGCCACCTGACACCTCACCCTTTCCCTCACTTCCCCTGGTGACTAGCAGGGAAGAGGAAGGTGTGGGCTTCTCGTGATCCCGCTCCTGGTGTCTGACACACGCCCAGCTCCCTCCCCATGCTTGGGCTCTTTGCAGCTTTAGGCTAAACTGTCCCAGTTGTTGGCAGTGACAGAGAATCTGCCTGTCATTTGTTCCTTCCCTCCCAGCCTTCCAGCCTGGGGGGTGCACTGTTTCCTGGAAGCAACATCTTCCATTGGCGTCTACCACAGCAGGGGCCCCGAGAGGGACTCAGGGAGGAGCCCCCCTCCCCTCAGAGGGGCGCAGTCCGGTCAGGGCTGAAGACATGCCCCCAAAGCACCACAGTGACGTTGGAAGAAAATGGTGCAGATGCTTGAGTTCAGATGGCAGCAACTCTGGAGGGCGTGAGTGAGTCCCCAGGAGAGGGGAGCGAGGAGGGTCCGGGAGACTTGACACAGACAGTGGCGTTTTTTACAACTTCTTTGAAGTATAGTTATGCACAAAGAGCCTCAGACACTGAACACGCACAGTTGGGCGGGTTTGGGCCAGCACCTGCCGTCCTCTCAGCGCAGTCGAGGTAACCCCCCACCCCCAGGCTCCTTCTGCCACTTGCTCTAGTTCGTTTTGCTTTTGTGGTAAGAACGCGTAATAGGAGACCTACTTTCTCAACAGATTCGGAGTGTCCGACACTGCGTCATCTACGGCACTGTGTTCTGCCGCAGACGTCAGAACACCTCATCGCCTGTAACTGACAGTGGGTGGCCCGTGAACACTGATTCCCCGGTCCCCACCCCTCAGCTCCTTCCGACCATTATTCCGTTCTGCCTCTGGAGTGTAGCCAGTTAGATTCCTCACTGAGCACAACCACAGTGCCTGCCCTTCTGGGCCTCTCTTACTTCATCTGACATACAAACCTCCAGGTTCACCGCGTTGTTGCGAAGGCCAAGATTTGTTTCTTTTTCTCAGGCTGGATAATATTCTCTTGTATGGATACCACATTTTCTTTCTCCATTCATTCCTCAGTGGAAACATTCATCGCGTATCTTGGTTACTGGGAATAACCCTGCAATGAACAGGAAAGCGCAAATATCTCTCCTTACCGTCCTGCTTCTACTTCTTTCGGATAAACCCCCAGAAGTGAGATTTTTGGTATTGGGCAGAGCTGACTTCTCTCCCAGGTGGAGAAGTAGCCACATGTGTAAGTCCTGACACTAAGGGTGGCCTCCTCAAGGGGCTCGGTCCTCTGCAGCTTCACATCAGTAAACCCTGCTAGCACTGTGCAGGTGATGTCTGCCTGGACATCACAGGGACACTGAATTTTCAGAGGGAATAGAGGTATGATGGGATCTTTTAAATGGCCCTTGTCTCTTGAGTTCTAACCTATTGCCATTGAAAGGACAGAAACTTCATCTGGCCTTGGGTGTGACAGACTTCCTGATGACACTCAGAAGGAGTGAAACCATGGGCTGGACCCTAGGGCAGGGAGACCCCCAGTTAGAGGAATGTTGAGTCCATGGGTATTGAGTGGTTAATGGGCAGGTTGGGATAAGGGTTGGGAAGAGGGCAGGCTGGGGTGTGAGGGAGGCTTCAGTGGGACAGGCCCAGGAAAGGCATGTTGGGCCTGTGCTGTGGGGCCCATGGAGGCCACAGCAGGGAATCAGAACTCATCCCAGGCACTGGGGAAGCCCTTCTGCACAAGATAGCCTCTTCCCAACACCCCCAAGCCCAGAGGGTGTCTGCTGCCATTACTGGCAACATGTTAAAAACACAGACTCTCTCCCTCACACAGGCACACACATGCGCACACAGGCACATGTTCACACGCACAGCCTTTTATCATTTTTTCATGAATCTGCAATGTCTAGGTTGAATCCCATGTCTAGATGCAGAAGCTGTGTCTGATTTGGTCATTATGTTCTGAGCTGCTGTCATCACCAACAGAGGTCCAGGTTGCAGTTGTGTGGGTCACTGGTCCCCCAGCAAGGGGCAGCTGACAGCATGGGCAGTTTGGGCATGACAGGAAGCAGAGTCCACTGGCTCAAGCCCTGGCCTGTCATTTCTTTAGCCATCCAGGCCCGGCATTCCACACAGAAGGAGGCAGGTGTGCCCTGCACCAAATCTCCTGAACACCAGAAAAAACTCAAGCACTGAGGATCCCACCAAATGCTCAGGGAGGGCAGGGTCAGGCTGGAGAGCTGTTCATTAGCTCAAGAGAGATGAATTATGACCACCTCCAAATCCCAGTTCCCAGACTCTAAACCAGCATGGTGGCCTGGGAGGATGTGCAGAATCCCAAAGCCCAGGGCCCCGGGTGACAGTGGTTTTCATCGCTGTATGTTCACAAGACCTAGGGTCTCTATCCTGCACTCTTCCAAACCCAGCTCAAGCCCTGCGCCTTCAGAAAGCAATGCTGATAATCCCTGGCTGCTGCTCTGACCCCTCCTCTTGCAAAATCCTAACACTCTATAGTGCGTCCCACAATTCAGGACCTGCTGGATTCTTTATTGTTTTCCTGGTTATCCGAAAGGAGAACTCCTCATTAGGAAAGGATTGCCAGCAATAAGGCAATCTGTGTCCTTCAGCAAAATCTATCAAAACTGTAGATTCTTAGCAAAACCTTGTGACTTGCCAGGCCATGTAGATCCAAGGCCTCTTTTATTCCAAGGCTAACACAATTGTGCTCCAAGGTACAAACTGGTTCTTACAACTGAAATCCCATCTAATAAAAGGTCCGGCTCTGACCCCCAAACAGAGCTAAACATCTACCAGCAACAGCCTCTCCAGAGACCTGCCCTGTGGACGGCCCCACCATCTGTCCTCTGATGCAATTAGGACATCCACATTTGATCATCACCTCTGAGTCCTCCCGCCTCCTTATTGAGCCCCGACAACTAGATGGCCCCCAGCCCTCAGTCCCAACCCCCACCACTTCTCAGTTCAGATGAGTCCTCTCCTACACCACTGTGGCTGCCCAGAGTCACACCGTCACCATTCCAACCAGCTTTGCTGTAACCTAGAGGCTCTTTTAACTGTCTGAATTCCCTCTGGGCAGCTTTGTCCACTCCTTGGCTTATTGAAAGGTGCATTGAATGACATTAGGTCATTCAAGTCTCAGACTTGAGCATGTGAGTTCCCACTTCATAGATCTCCACCCCAATGTCCCACGGACACCTAAAATTCAGAATTTCCCAAACTCGTCATCTTTCTTTCCCAATTCAACTATCTGTGTCTCTTCTGTAAGTGAAGAGGATCATTTCCAGGAGTGTGATTCTTATTTCTCCAGCTGCCAAATGTCCACACCTATCACCTCCTGGTGGTCCTACCTTACTTCCCCACCACAATCTCCGGATCACTCCCCCCCACCACATCCAGCCCAGGGAACTGCCAGGCCTCTCCCGGGTGACCCCAGCAGTCTCCCGTCTCCCTCCCTGCATCTTGCCCCACTCAAGTCCACTCCCCCACATCAGCCAGGCTGCTATTTCACAGCAGTGTCACCCCAATAGTCAAAACTCTTTAGGTATCTACAAGGCCCCTGAAACACAGCCTCCAACCTAATAACTTGCTACACCCACCCTGTAATCCCCCCAAGTTAATCTACTTTTAGATCTTCAAAGATAGGCTGCCCTGCAGGGCTCAAGGCTTATTCACATGTGGTTCTCTTATTGTAAACACCCACCCTCTTCTTCTACGCAGCCTGCAAGCCTCCTAACTCAGCCATATGTTGACAAGACCCTTCCCGTAAGAGGCCCCATCTTCGTGCTTCTGCGAGACCCTAACCTCCTGCTCATGGCACTTATTAAATGATTTCAGATTTCATGTAAAATGTCTGGTGTCTCTACCACTCTGAAAACAATGGCTGTTTGGGGGGTTGGGGTGGGGGTGCAATGTAGAAAACCATGTGCAATCCATGACTTTCTTCCTTTAATACAGCTAATTGGTAATTTCTCAGACTTACACCGTGCCCTGTGAAGCAGAATGGAGACGACTCTCTCACACCTCGGGATCCAGCCGGATCTCCTTCTCCTGTCTTTGAGCCTCTTTCTTTCCCAATTCAACTGGGAAAGGACTGAGACGCCCTGGGAGCCCTGGGAGCCCTGGGAGCCCAGACATTTTACCAGCCTCATTCCCGATTGGAGTTCCAGTGCCTCGCAGGGTAGGCTCCAAAAGAATCTGGGTGGGATGTCCTCTCAGGGACAGCGCTAGCATCTGGGGGGACACAAAGATACCTCCCCTGCCTTGGGAAGGGTAAAAGCTAAAAAGACACAGAAGCCTGGAATGGAAACATCCCTACAAACCCAAACCGTCTCCCCAGGAATCTGTGAGAATGACTTGGTCAGTGCTTGAAAATACAGTGAAAAGAAAAGAAAAACCAAAGGAAAATGCCCCCAAGCCATGGCAATTAGCAGATTAAAGTAAAAAGAAATCAGTTTGCACTGACATATTCCAGGATTAGGAAACCATGATTTGGAAACTGTAGGACAAGACAGGTCTTGTCACACACTCGGGGGCTCTAAGAGAAGGGAGAGAGAGAAATAAGACATTTTTGAATAATATCTATGCACATATTACAATTTCATGCGAATTACTCATGCTTCTTAATTTAATGCACTACATTAAAAAGAAATGTTATTGATTCTAAAAAATTGCCCTGTTTTCATAGAGAAGTTAGGCAAATTTCCCAGGAGCCTGGAAAAAGTAGCAGGACCAGGATTTTAGACCCAACTCATTTGATTCCAAGTTTCTTTCTTTCCCAGCCGGCAGGTGAAGGCCTGGACTGGGGGGTTCAGGCAGCGCGGTGAGGGGGGCTCACACCAAATCACACCTGATACCCCGGGATTCCCCAGTTCTCGTGTTTCCATCTGCCCCCCCCCCCGAATTCCATTTCCACTTTAACGGTTTGAGTCTTCTGCATGGTGGCAGTTAGACCATTTAGCACACCACAGGCAACAGTAATATTCTCTGAGGAGTGACCCACTCCGATTGTCACCACTAGGACTTTCTGGACTGATCTATGTGAACTGGTTCCCAGGTAACACACAGGAAGTTTAAGTAGTTTTTGACATTTGACCTTCTCTCTTGCTCTTGGAGGAATCCATTACGTTTGAGTCAGATAATGCTTAAAAGGTCAAAAGAAAAGCAAAAAGCACATAATCGCCTTTTATTTATGGCTCGTGCCCCTCACCCACTTTGGGAAGCTCACAGTATCATTCCCCGTGAAGAAGGGATTTGCTGAGTATTCGAGGCCCTGTGCTCAGAGAACCTGCCTGGGGATCTGCTTTGACCATGCAAACGCTTTCCCCTTAATCCTAACGGGGAAAGTTATTTTCCCCTGAGAACGTGGAACTAGGTTTGCACAGGCTACAGCCCATCTCCTCACACACTGCTGATAGGAAAGGGAAGGGATTCAACCCTTTGGGAAGGCAAACTGGAAACACGTGGCAAGAACCTGATACACATCCCATAATAATATTAATAATACTTCTTGGTTTTATTCTGCAGAAATGACCAAAGAGAGAGAGAGAAGCTTGATAACAAAGATGCCCATCAGGGGTCATTTTCATGCATAAGAAACATTATAAATGATGAACAACAAGTCACCCCCACGTGGTAATTTTTATGCTGGTGTTCCCATGGTGACGTGAAGCAGGTAACCTGCCTGGGTAAGTGGAGAAGAAAGACGCCAAAGCGTAAGTAGGGTGTGAGGACAACGTGAAGTTGGGCACACGCTAGAGTCCACCAAACGGCACCAGACTGTACCAGTCCTTACGGTGACTCACCAATGACAGATACTTTTCTACATTTCTACATACCATAAATTTAAAAATGGCCACGTTTGTTTCTATAATGAAAAAATATGTCTTCATTTCTTAAAGAGCTTTTCCTTGTCAATATTCAAAGACAAAAGAGAATGACAGGCATTGAGGGAGAGACGGGTTTGATAAGTAAGAAGCCAGGGAAAGACCCTGAGGCCCATTTCAGAAGGGACATTGGTGTAAGAACGGTGAGTGGCGAGTCACCACGGAGCAGGTGTGGTCAGATGTTGGGAAAATCTAGAATCACCTC